TACGGTTACACATGGGAGGGAAGGACGAACACAGGCGCCTCCAGCATTTGGATGAAGCTTAATTACTGAGACTGTCCATAAGATATTCAGTGTCTGACTACAACTTTGACATATTTGAAGTGTATTTTGCGAACTTGTTTGCAGGAAAACCACAGGTAACATCAAGAATTAACCATACAACAGGCCACAGAACAACAGCGTAGAGTGTGTAGGAGAAACTGCGTGGCACAAAACTCATGAAAGGCCTATAGAGAGCCAGTATTTGTTTGTCTGTTCTGTTCCACTGTAGCAACATGGCAGATGCATGGTAGGCAGACTGCATGGTAGGCAACCTGCAACGCTGATAAAAACAGCTCAGATGACAACACTTATATTCCTATATTTGGGTGATTAACACAAATGAAAACTCCTTATGAATATCATATTCATTTCTGCCAACAGATCCTGGACCTTTAAGGTCTCATAACTCTTTTAGGTAAAACATGATTTTATGTTTTATGATACAGAGCTTTTTAAATAATATGACCTGAACTTCAATTAGTTGAGTATAGATGGTTTTTTATTTAGAAGCATTGCAACACAGTGTATCTTCTGACCAAGTTCAGTTTTCTATCAATTCAATAAAGTTCAATTAAAATTTACACCATTCTAATATCTGCTCTTGAAGATAATGATGTGTATAATGTTTACATCAATTAACTGTGCATAAGAAAGCAAAGTGAAACAGTGGAAAGTAAACAACATTTGTATTTCAAAGTGACTTTGGAGTGCTTGTACACTGTATCTCTCTGAGCTGCTGCTGTTTTCACTCTGTGAAGAGAAAGAAAAACAACAACTTAACTGTCCTTGAGAGTAAATGATTGCCATAATTTTTCATTCATCAGATATTAAAGTTTCACATGTTGTCTATCCCGTACTTTCTTCTTTCAGCAGATGAAACATGCCTTCTAGGTTTCAAACTTTGCATATAGGTCAGCAAGCGAAATCAAATTTTGAAGTGAAGTAACAAGCAGGTAAATCATTGTTACATCTATGTTTATTTAGGTTAACAGCAAAATAAGTAGTTTTTTCATCTCACTTGATTCAAATTGCATCAAATATATCCTATCATGATTAACACCACACACATCATCATTGCTGACAATACAATTACTAAAACAAAGAATAAAACACAAAACACGACGCAAAAACGTCAAACTCAAACAAGTGCCCATTTCATGGGAACAGAGGTTGTTATGGTTTGTAACCCTAAAGGAAAAAATCACACATGAACTATTGACCATGCCACTTGATTGTTTTACAGCATCTTGTTCTAAAACTGTATCAGCATAAATAATATCAGTACAAACAGTCACTCATTGTGTTATGGTGATGCAGGGTGTGTCACTGTGTGTGAGTAAGATAATTTGTCTTAAGCTTTTAAAGTATAAAACCACATCACTTCAACCTCAGCAGGTTAAACTCTGATGTGACATCTTCAGCAGTTCAGTTCTGTCAGTGTCTGCAGACATAGAGGAGTCTCTGATATTTCCTCCTCTTACAGTGTAGAAATAACACAGACACTTGTGGTGTCGGGATACGAACTTTGGCAGATGGGTAATTTTTCAGAACGTGTTCTCAGTAAAACCACAGAAAGCGTCACAAGGAGATCACACTGACAGAGTAACCACAGAAATACACACACTTGATCTTTTATAAAGCCCTTTATGTTTGGTACCATATATATAGCCTTTCAAAGAATTGCACTTTTTATATCCAGGAATTGTGCTGCAATGATAGTTGTATTTTGGGATGTACTTGGAGGAGAAAGATCACCCCTGAACCAAAACATGCATGATTTGTGTGCTGGCATGTGACCCCACAACAGACTGTGTGACCCTTATATTGTCCTATGCAACGCTGCATTGCTTTTAGTATGCAAGCCAACAGACAGAGTTGTAGTTGTTTATTATTTATAGACGTCCAAATAAGCCACAAATTAGCTATACCCCATAGATGTAGAAAGCATCTATAAAGCATAAAGTAGTTTTTTTTTATATTTAGGATGTTCCTGCTCACTTGTAACACCCCCTCTCTGTAAATCTCACCCTTCCCTCCCAGGTCAGAGATTTTTACCACCTGCTGTATGTGTAATAAGAGTAAACTCTAAACTTTAAAGCACAAGTTACAGAAATTAAGCTTGAAAACTCCCTCCCCCCAATTATAAACTTAGTCTCTCAGACCTGTCCTGGTCATGGCTTCAGTCCGCCAGCAGAGGATGTAATTGTACCACAAATTCTGATGTCGCACAGACAAGAGAGGCCTCTTCACAGACACATCATGGGGTTAAGAAAGTTGAGGATACTGGCTTTATCGGAGGCACTGCTGTCAGTTTGACCAGGGCACTTATTCACTACTGCAGACTCCAAGGATGCCAAAAATGAGAAGAACACCTCTACTGCAGATGTCAAGTTGAGCTGCCTGCCTTTTGACCATAATGTTATGATGCCAGAGCAAAAGAGGAAGCCTCCAGCAGCAATCCTTGGCCACAGCTGACTATTTCCTATACCAAAATCTAAAAAAGACAACAGTTACATTAAGTGCTGCTGCCTGTTTGATTCGAACCTGTGGCCCTTTGCTCTATGTTGTTTCCCCCCTCTCATGTCTACCTTCACCTTTCCTATCAATATAAAGACAGAAAATGATGTTATGATACTCAACTTGTAGCTAGAGGTCTGTCAGGCTTTTAAATTAACTTCAACATCAACATTACTTCCATAATTGCTGTAGTAATTACACCTTTAAACATATTGAAATGGAAAGTAAGTTGCACTTCTGAGTAATTTATTTAGTAAATGTATACATTTATTTATTAAGTCCAGTGATTCCAAGTGACCTTTGACTTTCTATGCCTCCACACCGGCAACAGCCAAGATGTTTTCAGGTTGTCCCATTCTTGTAAACACAACATTTTAGGAACGCCATGACGGAATTTCTTCAAATTCATCACAAACATCCACTTAGACTCAAAGAAGAAGTGATTATATTTTAGCGGTCAAAGGTCGAGCTTACTGTGACCTCACAAAACATGTTTTTGGTTATAATTCAGGAATTGGTGTTGAACTAACGACAAGATGTCACAGAGAACAGTATTAAAGAGTACAACAATGAAGTGATTACATTTTTTATTAAAAAGGTGAAAGGTCAACTTCACTGTGACATCATAATTTCTATGGAACTAGAAAGAAAGATTGTGATCATATTTCGCTGTTGTTGACTCAAAGGTCAAAGGTCATAGATTTTTAGCCATAATTTGCCTCATTCTGGATTTAGAGCGTCATCAGAATGACTAATGGTGATCCTGTGAGTGAGTGAGTTTCACCTACAGCTCAGAGAGAAGCTTCTAATCCAAAAATGGAAAGAATAAAACAAAGCACCACATTCTGTATATCTTTACTCCATTTTAATCAATTACATGTGATCAATGCATGTTTACCTGTTTAGCCAATAAATCTATAACAATCCTTCATCAGTTCAAACATGTATATTCACTGAAATCATTCATACCACCAGTAAAGTGATACCTTTAATTTAGCTGAAACAATAAACTTTGTACTTTTCTACACATATATACAATTAAACATATATATATATATATATATGTAATTCTTTAAGTTATCACCACATGATTCTATTGTAAAACTGCAACTTTGACTGGTTTGTGCGTGGAGGCATTTAACATTGTTAACCAAGAAAAAAACATTTATTTTGCAGATAAATGTATGAACATTTGTGTTGACGATAAACAGTTTGTAGATATGTTTACTATAATTGTTTCACTTTGGTCAACGCCTAATATGGAGTACTGCTATTGAATGACATAGTTAGAATATACAAATAGTTATTTGATACAAATGTTAAATATAATTGAAAATTAAACAAGATATCTACATTCTTTTTAGGTATAAAACATTTTCAGTGAGTCTGCACTGTGCTGTACACCATGTCCTTCAGGGCTGATGGAGGTGGGTCGTCAGGGATGGTGCAGTACACATGGTATATGTCAGACTAGAAAGCAAAGAAACCAAATGTAAGAGCTCTTTAAATCTGTACCATCTGTAAACCTACATATATAGCAAACATGTTCAGTACTGTGCCCCGTCTCACTTACGTCCTCAGTTTGAGGCTCTCGCCTGTTCGGTTTGTCAGAACCTGCAAGGAAGAGAGAACCAAACGAAAAGATGATTGTTTCAGTCAAGTTTGGTATTTTATTGCAAAATCTGTATAAAATAAGAAGAGACACAGTAGTAAGATGTGTAAGTTTTCTGTAAATAAAAAAGTCTATAGTAGGTTATAGTCCACCTGATCATATATTCATTGTACTCCCATAAAAGTAGACGTCTGCAATAAGTCTTCAGTCATTAAATATCTGTATCACCAGTTAGTGAAAATATTATGGAAACAAAAGGCCACAGATACCTTGGTCTCTACCGGAAATCGAATCCCCCCTACCCCATTGAAATCTACAGAGCCCCCTAAGTGTCATGTAGAGAATATTTTTTAAAGTCTGGAAATTGTCATTCATGCATTCATCCTGTTTAAACAACTGTAACTCAACCTACTCATGCATAAGCAAAAACAACCTTACCAGACTTCAGTTCATTCAAAATGCAGCTGCCAAACTCCTCACTAATTCTAACAAGAACTTAAGAGTATGATTCCAACTTAAGCATCATTATACTGGCTACCGGTGTATTTTAGAATCTATTTTAAGGATTTAATTATCATCTTTAAGGCCCGAATGGGACTGGCTCCTGAGTATGTCAATGACTGTTTAGTTCCATATGAGTTTAAATGTGGCCTGAGCTCCTCTGATGAGTCCCTTTTAGCCCGGATCCAAGATTTACATTGAACACCGGGGCCCGACCGGGCATTTGCTATCAGGGCGCTCTGTTATGACCTGCTGGAGGATATCAAGCTAACCACATGTTTGTCCTCTTTTAAATCTCTTTTAAAAACTGACCAACGTGTTAAGCACTAAATGAGGGAATATCTTTTGGAAGAAAGCTGTTCATCCCCCCAGTAAAGGTTCCGAGACCACATTGAAGCCTGTTCTGGCGTCACCTGGGTGGCAAGCATTTTAACTGAGATGGCTGGTTTTTTCTTTCAATTTGTCCGTCCTGCAGTTGCTTTTGAGGCCATACCAACAGAACATCCATGGATTTGTTTGAGAACTTCTGTCTGTTTCTGTGGACAGAATCCATTCATGTGTTCACAAGGCTTTTATTGTATTGTATTTATCAAAGACAAACTCTGTGTAGAAAGACAGGGCTGGCAGCAGCAGCTCTGCAGCAGAAAAGCTCTCTATGTGGTCACCTCAGGCGTGTCACATAAAGCAGCCACCAGACACTGCTCATGCAGCTTATGTGTACCAACCATAAAGACTTCAGTTAAGATAAGATATTTTTGTCTTTGATGAGACCACTACTGTTATATCACTTACTGCTTTCTTCTGGGGAGACCAATTGATCTAAGAATGTGTTTTACTTTCACTAATTACATAACCGTGCCTGTTGAGCAGTAGTACTATATCAGCATACTAAATATCCTGTTCAAAGTAAAATTCAATGAGCTGGATACTGGAGCGTGGCACTGGGAGCAGAAATAATAATGGCAGAAATAATTATGGCTAAAAAGAATGGAAGAAAAGTACTGTGAGTCAACACAAAAGTATTCCAAAGGAACGCAAAGATAGTCTCCACAAAGATTCTCGTGGTGACCCTTAAAAGGATCTCTAGAAACTGGTTAGAGACGAAACAATGTCAGACAGGAGATGGAAATGTAATGAGTTGATGATTCTGTCTGATATCAGACACATTTCTTGGGTGCTAGTGGTAATACCCTGAAATGTTTGTTGTGGTGCTTACTTTAACTATATATTTTATAATTTTAAAGGCATATAATATTAATATAATTGACTAGTCATACTATGAGATACACCTTCTGGTATATTTTTAAAAAGACACCTTTCAAACAACTAATACTGAAAATAAACTGAGCAATGTTTGTATGTACAGATATGTTTATATATAGATAGTTTTTAATAATTATTATATCGTTGTATGTTAAATATGTTGTATGTAGAATTTGGAAGTTTGTAACGGAAAGTAACTTTCCCCCTGGGATTATTAAAGTATTTCCCCTGATCTGAATTCTGATGAAATCTTTTCTTCCATCCTGTAATGGAGAGCCTTACTAAACTCATGTAGGTGTAAAGTGAAAAGCAGCTCACCAGTAGGACATTCAAGACCAGGTAATGAGGTGATCACATCATTGGCTTTATCATTATCTGCAGAGAACTTAAGATAAAAGGAAAGATGGGAGAGGAATTCATGAGCATTAATTAACCTTGAGGAGTTTACTATTCACGTTTGATTATTTTATATGATGTGAATGACAGAAAAAAGTTTTTACCAATCCCTCATAGTCAAGATTTATCATGTACATAAAGTCATCTACAAAAGAAGATAAAACACAGCTTAATACACTAGAAGACCAAAATATAAATACAATACATAAAGTACTTTGTATGTATTAATAATACAGTGAGGTTGCCTGTTTACTAAACGTACATATTACCTGTGACATTGGTTTGTTTCCTATACAGAAAGAAAGGGGGAAATTATTTGTTAATAAAGAGTGTGTCCTTACACAAGTTAGCATAATGCACTGTAGGGCAATAAACATAATATCCAGAGGGATAGATTTATTTCCACAAACACCTCTGTGACTTATGTGTCCACTACTTTAAGCCCAAGGTTTAATAGGAAAATCAAGTTTACTTAATCCATAACTGAATAAGTACAATGTGGGTATGAAAAAAGTGGTGAGAGAAAATACGCTGACTCAGTTTTTGCTGAAAAAGTAAAAGAAAACAAAAAGGATTCCTTACCTCTTGTAAGAACATCCTTCTGGAAAATGCAAAAAAAAAACCAAGAGATATAAGCACAGCGTTGAAGCTGCAGAGCACTGAGGTTGCGCTTGTATTGCATTTCTGATATTCTTCATAATTATTATCTTACTGGCTGATGTTCAATCATATTCATGCATACAAAGCAGACATCATAAACACACACTTATTATTATCACTCTGCTGATTAGTTCATGAAATTGCCCTCTGGTGCTGCAACTGCCTTCACCACCCCAACCTGCTCCTTATGCTTCAAATTGTTGGTTTGATTTATGTTCATGTATGTGTTTAATAACAGCTCTCTGTCTAATCCTGTGCTTTTTTGAGAGCTCTCTCGGGGGTGGAAAGTACATTCAAGCTTTACTGGGCACACAAATCGAGTTCTCACCAGTTCTTCTTTTGGTACAGAAAAGTCCCAGTCCCAGTGAGATAACACCCACAGTTACTCCAAAACCAGCCACAACTATTATCGACTTCCGTATCCATGTTTCTGTTTCAGAGGCCACAAACAAGTGTCAGTTTCATTAAGTAAATTAAGTTGTGAACATGATAATTATGCAAAACATTGATACAACAATATGACACTGAACAGCAATGCATACTGCTCAAACCCATACTATGTGTTGCTGTAGGCGAGGTGGTAACAATTTTAAACTTTAAAATATTTAATCTTGTATTTATTTATATTTGTTTATGTAATTTAATTAGTATGTGCTTTTTGCTCACCTGATGACGTTTCAGGGAACAAGCTAGCTTTAGTGCTAGCGGTATTTAGTGTCAGAGCTACTGTAATAAATACAAAGTAAATGATATTAAAATCAAACACAGCAATACATCTTGTTTTTTTAAATGCAATCTCACCTGTAATATTGCCTGATGCCAGATTCATGAGAGTTGTGACTATAAAATAATTTAATAAATATTTAAATTTAAATAATGTCCGCTGAATCGCTTACTTCCCCATTTCTTGTCATTTTAACATTATCACTGTCTAATAAAGCCATTAGGTGCCCAAAATAACAAGAAAAAGTCAGTGTGAATCATTGAGAAAATTAGTAGTACCTGATGGTTTCACTGGTATTAGGGAAGTAGAGATAAAACTATCAGTGTTACTTGGTCTACCAACAGTCAGACCTGGTGAATGAAGAAAAATACATAAGACAAAAATATTAACATATAATGTAATATACATATAATTTGTCAATAATTAAAGTTACTTAATATGAAGCGTTACCGGTAATTCTGTTAGGTGATGTTTGTTTTGCAGGAGTTATAGGAGTGGAAGCATGAGGCCGGCTAACAGTCGAACCTGGTGAAGAAAACCTTTTTTAAACTTTGTGATTTGTGATAATGTTCTGTATTTCGATTAAACTGGATATCATGCCATACCTGTGGTCGTAATAACTGCTGATTGTGTGAGACCCGAGTTTGATTCTTTTTCCACAATGGCTGCAGTATAAGGAAAGGGATTTGTGCTTGTCAGTTTTAAGTGTGTACAAATAAATTTACATTTGTGCTATTTCTGTTATTTGTGCAATCACTGTAGCACAAGCTCGGTCGCTCAGTCGATCCACAACTGCATTCCAAACGGAAATATTTGGTGGCTGTGAAATATGGTGATCCCTCAGCTTTTGCAAGACCATGAAGTTTTGAATGTGATACCTGAACATTTCATCTAGTGCCACCAGCAGATTAAAAGTTTGAGCTTATCCTGTGAAATATCAAAACTATGACTTAAACTTTTTACCTGAGAGGAATTATATGTGCAACCACATTATTCTGCAATTAGTCCAACTGGGCAAACTACTTGTAAGCAACAGGTACTTTCATAAAGAAGAAAACACAACCTCCATTCAGCCATTACTGTCCTCAAAAACATCTCCTTGTACATGGCCAGTTAACTTGATTGTGATTCGGATGTTACAGTGTCATATTCAAACATTATATATGACATGCAATCATTGGCGGCACCTTTGATTAAACATTGGGGGGGTTATAGCCATAACTTTATTTATCCTTTGTTTGATATTACTTTAACAAGTTTTAAAATGATGTAATTTCAAATTATTCATATTTCCCACCCCTCTGCTGATGTCGGCAATACGACAGTCAGTGTAGGATGAACTTGTGCTGGTGAAGGCAATTAAAGAAAGACTCAAATGTGGTGTTTTTCTGAATTTACACATTCAGTGGTAATTCATATTCATTAATTTTAAGGGGTGTTGTGTCACACAGAGTAAACTCTGTGGTTTGTGTATAAATGTCTTCTGTGACTTACCAGTCAAGCTGTATTGATCACACAATCATACAAATACCATACTGTACCTGATGTTTGTTTTTCAGAAGATACAGGAGTTGAAGCATGAGACCTGGTACCTGATGAATGAAGATATTTTTAAATCTTCAAAATAATGAACATAATAAGTGATTTGTGATAATGTTCTGGATTTAAATGTTTAAGTTCCTACCTGTGGTCATAGTAAATGTCGGCACAGTCTGCGTCATCCGTGACTCTTTTTCCACAATATCTACAATAAAAAAAATAAAAAATGGAATCTGTTAATTTCTTGTGTAGACAACCATGTGGGACTATAAACCAGAGAACATTGCAGTGGCCCTGCGGGTCAAAACACAACATTTCAGGACAACGAAAGTTCACTGTCAGTGAACTGATGATGATGATGCTCGTTTTCCGGTTTAGATTAAACCACGGCCACTTCTGTATGACGAAAGTTTGCCCTTGAAAGCTACAGTAGTTTGGAAAATAGTGTGGCACTGAATTCACTGTTTATCAGAGTGTTGTTGTGTAAAGGAAACAGTTGCAATCAAACATAGAGGCTGTATTATGTGAATCTAAATACAGTATTCATTTAAAAACAGTCACAAATATAAAGTTACTGTTTGGTGTTAATTTTACCCAGAACTCACTTTATTAAAATCTATTTCAGTGGATGTGTTGTAGCAGTGGTAGCAAATGTGTGTTCCATGTCCTTCTGTGAATTTACCAGTCAAGCTGTGTCGATCACTACGAGCTAACAGAGCTAACATTTCAGTCGTACTGATACAACACACATCATGTGACTAAGACTAGCTAAAGAAAGATTGTCATCTAATTTGAATTTGTAATATGTTATACAATAATGTAATAATGTGTCATTAAATCTATCATTGCTCAAAATACAATTAACATTAAAAGCAGGCGGCAATTTTGTAAAGAACAGAAGTTCTTAATGAGTCTTGTTTTGGTTTATAACCCTAAAAAGACAATTCACTTCTCCCCTTTTCTTGTTATGATACAAATCCAAAAAAAGCATTCCACTCCTGTGGTATGGGTGATGTGGGAAGGTGCCCACTGTATGGAGCGGAGAATCTTTTTTCCAAGCTTTACAGTATAAAAAACACATCCTTCTACCCTCGCAGGTGAACTCTGAGGTGACATCTTCAGCAGTTCAGTTCCTGTCAGTTGTCTGCAGACAAGAGGGTCTCTGACGTTCTCCCCACTCTGAAATGTAGAAATGACACTGAGTCACAGTAAAAGGATGGTGGGAGGCCTGACAGTTCAATGTTGAACTGAGTCTGTCTCGTTGAATCACGGTGGATTCATGTCGTTTAGGTGGAAGAGATGCTGAAAAAAATGTAAGTATATGTTGGGTTAAATAATTGGAAAATTTAATGTGTTTAAAACATTCTGATGATACATTTAAAAACAGTAGAGGATGCACCGAGGTATTAGAATAATGTAATTGGGTTTGATAACCCATTATAAATCATCCAATGTTTTTCCTATTTTGAAGTCACTTTGTTTGTGTTGGATAATGTAAAAAAGGATAATCTTTTAAATAAAGCTCTAAACAAAAGTTCAAGTTCAAAGAAGACTCAATGCTCCATGTCTATTTTTCTTGCAAGTCTTATCTGGGGCTGTAAATCCTGATATCAGCTGTTCTCCATCAGCTGGTCTCATCTATTCCAATAATACAGCAACTGCAGTCTTTTTACTGTACAATTCTCTCTCAGCCTTCAGTGTTTTCTGTCCACCCTCCTCCAAATCATCATCACCTCAGACTATACAGATACATCAAGCTTCATTTTTCATCACTCTCATCAGAGTCAATCAGCCCACCATCACCCAGTGTCTGGACTGTGCCAAAAGACTTTTTATATGTTACTAATGTTATAATAAACAAATGATCTCTTCTGATTGTAATATTAAGTTCCAATAGCAGCAGTGTTTTTCACTAAACTTCGGATATGATGGAGGATGTTTTCACTCTCAGGAGATTGAGACGCCTTAAAAGGTACAAACATTTCACTTCAACCTCAGCAGGTTGAAAATTTGATTTGGACATCTTTAGCAAGTTCAGTTCCTGTTCAGTGTCTGCCAGAACAAGAGAAAGCGTGAGGCCGGTCTCTTCTTTTAACAGTGCGGAAATAACACTGAGACACAGAAAACAGATGGTGGAGGCTGACAGTTCCAATTGACTGAGTCTGGTGTCTGTGAAATCACCAACGGATTCACTGTCAGCTTTAGGTGGAAGAAGAAGCTTGAATAATTTGAGGTACAGCATATATTATATCAAGACTGGAATAAGCAGATTAGTATAGTAAATATTCCATATTGAGAAAACAGTGATTAACAGCATAGTTGGGACAAATGAAAAAATAAGAGATCAGAGACTGACCCTTGAACTTGAATCTTGTGAAAAGGAATTGTTTGGAAATAATGTGGTTAACAAGGTAAATAGAACGTAATAATAATTAATGAAATAAACTTATATCAATAATATGTAGGATATAGGAACATATAGAAATTAGTTTGTACTTGCAGTTCCACAATAAGTTTACAATAAACATCAACAAGAAGTGGAACCAACAACACATAAAGTCATCACAGAGGTGTAGTGGGTGGTATAACATACTGGATCATAATGACTGATATTATTATTATTAATTATAATTAATGTCAATGTAAGTGTAAAAAGTTTAACTTACACATGAGGAAGACAAACAACAGGTGTCCAGCCCAATGAATGAAGCTTGAATACTGAAGACTGTACAAAGATACTTCAGTGGTCCTGACATACCAGACCTTTGAACATACTTGAGGGTTACTTTGCGGAACTTCTGCTGAAAAACCACAGGTAGCATCAGAAGTTAATCATATAAAACAGAACCTCACAGCCACAGAGGTACATCCAAACCTTACATCTACTAATAAATTAAATCTTCTTCTTCATCTACTTGCTTTGATACAACAAAATAAATCTACCACAGTGTTTTGTTCACTGATGTGTTGCACACACATACTTAACACTGTCTGCTCTAAGCAAACATGCAACTATTCCATTTTTGTCCCTGACTCTGCAATCTGGCATTACATTTCTACTTACAGAATTATACACACTGTGTATTTTTCTGCAGTTGGAATTGAAGATTAGTCAATGTCCCTGATGTTTCCCACAGATTCTCTTACTTAGCTTGTACTGCCTGGGAAAAAAACACAACTAAAACACAGAAGTGATATTAATAGAAGAGGAACTACGTAACCTACATTACCAAATAAAACAGAGAAAAAGGTCGGAGGTTTCACTATTGCTCAAAAAGTAGAAACAACCAGAATGCCATGGGCCGCAGTGGAAAAACAAATACTCTGGCTGTTCTTATGTATTTATTTCCCAGGGATAGTATATATTTATAAACATTGTTGTAAATATGCCAGAATTAGGCAAACGCTAATCTCTATCTGTAGTCCAGGTGTAAGAACTGTCAGCCTGAAATCAGCATAAAATCCAAAGATAAAGTTAAAACTGGTGGGGGTTGTACTCCGAGTTGGGCGGTGCTTGGTTTTGACTCATCTGTTTTCAAGCAGGTCACAAATCTCCTGGTATTTCTGATAAAGAGTAAACTAAACAGGGATTATTAGCAGGATTTCAACTGACTCCGCTGGCTCCAACCTAATCCAAAAAGGGGCAAAGAGGTGAATCATGGGTGTTTCTGAGGCGGGCTGAATGAAGCCTGATTACTAAAAACAGCAACCTGTGACAGCACCCACCTGTCAGTCAAAGCTATTCCCTTAATTATGCATAACTTTAAGCATTTATATAATTTAACCAGGTGAGTTATATAACATTCACCCCCCATACATGTGTCATGAATGGGAACATTTTAAATACAGAGACCAAACCAGAGACCTGTTTTTGTACTAGGCTGTAAACATGTTCGTTTACTTCTGCTGTAAAGTTGGAGCATTTTAATTTGGGGCCTTTGTCACTTCTATAGCCCGGCCTCAAGTGGTCGTTCGAGGAACTGCAATTTTTGTAACTAACTGAAAGTAATCAAGTTACATTACTTAAATACTGCCATATTTGGATTAGGTTACTACTGTACTACTTAATTTCCGCCTATAATGCATGTGTGTTTTAAGTGTAATCGTAAATTTAAACAAAGGTATTGATGAAATGTTTGCTTTATTGTCTGCAATAAATGTCTGCAAACACCCAGTTTGGTGATATTGTGACAATTATTTCCAGAGATAAATATGTTCAAATAGGGCAGACACTGGTAAAGCCTAACGTTTCACTATTTCTGGTTTTGGTTTGAAACATCAGCCAAATAAACTGATTTTGCTGTCAAATGTTTCTACACGGCCATCCATTTCAAAAACTGTTATTTGACTTATAAACCTATCAAACATACACTGGTAGGTTTGGTCTGTGCTTTCAATTCACTGTTTAGTTGTTGGTTTTTATAGTTTGAAGACATTTTTAACCTCCAAAATGTAAAGTACTGTTTTGCACTCTTGGACAAACCATTTTGCTAAATAAGAAGCATTTCTCTAAAAAATATTGTTAAAGATTTAATGGGGACACTAAGAAGTGCCAGGTGCATTTGGCGACGGTCCCTGCCGGCTGTAATTTACAGACACTAATAGATTGCACCTGATGCGATGTGATGTGATTCACCTGGTCTCATTTTACCGGAAGCAACCGCATAAAGACGGAGACGCTGGACGTGCAGGTGTAGCGTACTTTTAGACTTCACGTTATCTGTCGTTTCTTGTTTTTTCTTTTTATATTTCATTCTCAGTAATGCCTCCCAAAAAGGCAGCAGCAGCAGCAGCAGCAGCAGCAGCAACAACAACAGCAGAATCCGCTGATCCGCCTGCACCGTCCTCCACTGAAGCCCCGGTGGAAGAGAAGAAATCAGGTCTGAGACACTAAATCAGAAAACGATTTTTTAAATTTAAATGTCATTATTAACCCAGCTGTTTAAAACTGTCCAATCCTCCAGAAGTGTTGTTTTCACTAATGTATAAATGGAGTATATGTGCGTTGTATACGTTTCTTCTCCAGATGCTGCGACGGTGCGCAAACTTGCAGCTCATCCCTCCACTGCAATTATGGTGAAAGAGGCACTGAAAGAGTTGGACTCCCGCAAAGGGGTTTCATACCAAGCGATACAGAACTACATTAAACAAAAGTACCCCTCGGTGGATTTGGTAAAGTTGAAGCACTTGGTCCGTAGAGCACTGAAAAAAGGACTCGAAACTGGCACCTTGGTGCGGCCTGCAAACTCCAGTGCCACTACAGGCGCAACGGGAAAATTCAGGGTAAGGGGTCAACTCTACAGCTCCATCAAACTGGGTTAAATAACGTCATTAATCGTAATTATTTTTCATCCCCTGCCTAAAGCTTGCACCAAAAGTCAAGGAGGCAAAGCCAAAAACTGAGAACACTGATCCAAATGTGCAAAAAGTGCCCAAAGCAGCCAAGGATGGAGCCAAGGACGCAGCCAAGAAGCCCAAAAAAGCAGGTATAAATAAATATGTAAATTAAAATGACTACAATCAGTAATAACCATATTGGGTGTCTGTTTTTAACACCATGTACCTTTTTAAAGGTGCTACCAAGAAGGACACTGCCAGTGAACAGGACAAGTCACAGGAGGTGAGTGCTCTGAACAAAAGTGGAGTATTTCTAATTATGGTCTGCCAAGTCAGCTTGACAAGTTGGTACTTTTTTTAAAAGGTTGGGACACATATTCCTCCTATTTAATTTTTTTGGGCCAATTTTATTTTTTCTCATCAGAATTAATTCCTGGTTGCTAATTGTAAAACCATTAATCTAGAGAAACTCTGGCACATACAACAGTTTAATATAATAACCTTTTATTCACATTGGCTTTTTTTGTTTTTTTTTTTACTTTAGGAATCAAAGCCTCCCAAAAGTCGTAAGAAAAGATGAAGGGATGCCTGCACTACCACAAAGGTTGCTCCGGCAAAGAAGCCAAAAGCTAAAAAAGTTGCAGAAAAAGAAGAGGATGACGAGGAAGCGGCAAAACCAGCAGTCAAAACTAAAGCAGCAAAGGCCACCAAGGAGCCAAAGGCAGGAAAGGCGGCTAAAGTGAGCAGTGAGGCCCCGGCTACTAAAGCAACCGGGAAACGAGGGAAGAAGACCGCAGAGTGAATTTATCGTTCTTAACTGATGTTTTATACTGTTTTGTTTTGCAATAAAATCTTTATTTTTTTGAGCTCGTGTGCATTTTAACTACACATTTATAGTAAAATGCTGTCTTTATATTGCCTGTTCGTATATACAGTGTTGGAGTCTCCCACTACAGCAGCACAAAGTGGCCTATTTCTGCCACCAACAAGCCGATCACAGGATGTAGGAGTTGGTGTGTCATGTCCTGTGGAAAATGGTAGCAAAATAATTTTTAGACTCTAAAAAAACAATTTAGATGTGACTGTAAAGCTTCAGCAGTGTCTTTTCCACAATGCTTCCTGGCTTGCTTGAGTCAAAACAGTTTTATTGATCTCCCTTTTCAGGGTGAGTGCAGATAAAGTAATAAAGATACTCTGAAACTGCGTCCCACTGCCTCCAGAAGACAACGACGACTAAAAGTAGCGTGTAAAGCATGCAGCTGCGGGTTTTCATGAAGAGGACGACGCAGGTGGACACGAACACTACGACTGCCATGACCGCCAGCAGCAGCACATTGATTAGCTTTCCAAAAAGAGTCCGTGCCGTGCCGCTCTCCAAACCTTCAACCTGCCCCGCCTGCTGTTGCTGCTCCATCTTGAAGAGACGTGTCTGACAAGCCTCCAGCACCTCCTACAGTTCAGAGATAAAACTGTCAGTGAAGAAGAACTCCACACATGCAGCACCTCCTTTTATTTATAGACCTTTTTCATGGAAGATGTGTAATAATTTATATTAACATTTCTGATAAAAAACTTACATAAATATCTGTTGCAATGTCATTGGAATGATGAGCAATCTTCTCCTCCATACCAGCGAGTTCCTCTTTCAAGTTGAAAATTTCATTCTGGTGCATTTCTGTCAAGTCATTGAACTGTTCCTCTAGACGTTCCCACCTGCAAAACAGTGAGTACAGTGCATCACAAACAGCAGCGGTTCCCTCTTCAACCCCACAAAGCACTGCAGTGAAGCTACCTGTATTGTTCCTCTTGCAGGATCTGCACATTCACTGTGTACTCTCGTTGGTGGTAGGATTTTAAGTTTTCAAAGCAATCCTCAAGTCGACCTTGGTTTTCCTGGAGCTCTTGGACCTCGTGGAGGATGGCGTCAAAGCCTGAGGCCCGGGTATGATCGGGGGTGTTGTCGCTGGAGCTAGGTGCTCCTGCTCCCCCAGTCACACAGCAATCATCATCGTCATGCTTCTGGCTGGGCTGCGGCTGCCCTGTCCGAAGGGTCCTCGTTCCCCCAACACCCTCATATCCCTGAGTTTTCTCCAAGTTCTTCAGGGCTGCAGCGTTATCGGTGCTGCCAAACATTTGAGGGAGATTTTCCTCAGCTCGGCCACCACAGCTCCAGAGAGAGAGCCACCTGTAATGTGTGCAGGACTGGGTTAGGCTGCTACTCACTGCTGTAATATAATATATATACTAATATCTCTTACTCTGGTTTAAGTGTGAGGTTACAACCTAGACCCCCTTTCCTCCAGTGATCCAGAGTAGACGGTTGTAAAACATGTGGCCTTCTGGCCCAAAACATGACATGTACAGGAAAGTACACACCTTTACTCCTCAATGTGACATTAACCTTTTTGTACTGGAACCTCTTTCTACCAAAGAAGCCCTTATAAAACTGCTGTGGGTTCAGAGAGCGCTGTTGAAATGTCAAATGTACTAAATATATATATTTTCTTACACTGAATCCAACTCTGCTTTCTAGAGGAGGCACAGACAATCTGCAGCTCAGTTCCTGAAAATGCTTTTTTGTAAGTTTGCTTTAGAAACTTGGTGATATTGGTACATGTGCTACTCACCTGTCTTCAAATGAAGTTGTCTATTTCCGTCACTTCCAACATGCCGCGTCGATCATATCGATCACAGATGATTGAATGTTTCCCCTTAAATCCGATCAGATTGTATCCACCTTATAGTTAGCGTCTGGCGGTAACAGAACACAGTCCCACCACAGTTGTGAACACAATGGACAGTCTGTCACCACATTAACAGCCACACATACGCTAATGTTTCTCATTACTGCTAGCACTCGTTAGCTAACGTTCAACCGACGGCTAACAGATTGTCAGGTTGCTTAGCAACGGTAAAATATTCCGACAGAGAGCTCACACTCAGATTAAGTTTGAGAGCCTCTGATATCGATATAAAAATGTGTACTTTTTATGGGAAGATATGTTTGAACAGGTTGTCAAAGTGCTAGTTAAAGTCAGTGTGGTCATAAACAGTGTGGACACTGGATGAGTCAGGTTCATTTGCTCAATAAAGCTGGGTCAACCCATATCAAAGGGCCTTATAGCACCACTTCACCTCCAAAGTGTTTGGAGAATGAGAGTGTAGGCCTGTAGTCAACACACAGAGGTGATTTTAATTATTGTGCCTGATTAGACCTCTGCTCCACATAACTCACCTGTTAACTATTGTTGCTCCTTTAGTTTACACAACAGGATCAAATACACTGATAGACATTCACAGCACACATTATGGCCAGTTGTTGCAGGAATTAGTGTAATTAATAAGAGTGGATGGATACGTTCCTTTAGGTGGCCCAGTAGGCTATTCCAGTGAGCCAACACAATACCAGGACCTCCTCTAAATGTGAGCATTGATCTTATTACACCTCTGCTTCTCCTGCTGTGACAAGACAAAATGTGTACTGTGGAAGAGGTTAGTGTCCTCCCTCATGAACCCCAACACACTTAAAGATGTTGCTGGTATTAGAAGGAATGAGCGGTTTCAGTAAAACAAAACAAAAAAAGTTACATATCTGGAAGACAATGTGTTTACTACTGTCAGAAACTGTTTATGTCTGTTAACCCTCTATGTTACTGTTTCCTAGATTATAGGTGTATTACTGTTGGTATTACTCTTAAACCTGTAAAAACACCACTACTACTCTCTACAGTTCACTATCATATTCCCAACATATGGCAAGTGAACCAATGTGACCCCAACAGGATGCAATAATGTAATATGATGTACAATTCAGTGACTTAATGACATTGAAGACAAATACAAGTTCACCTTTTAAAACAGCAAATTTATTTGTCTTTAAAAAATAAAAAAATCAACTAAAAAGTATTACTATTTCATTGTCACTAATAGAAACAGTACGGAAGCACTGAGTCTTTGAGCACTTTAACTGCTCTTCAAGTATGTTAATTAAGTTCATAGATTATTCTTCTGCAGTGGAAAAACCACCAGAATAGCAGGATCCAGTTGGCCCGGAGGGCAGGGTCACAACTCCAAATAAATGTTCTTGATAGTAATATCCTGGTTGAGGCAGAACCAGTGTTATTGGATTCACACATCCAAAAGAAACAAGTCACACCCACTTCGGTTAGATCCAGTGACAAGTCTGTTTCCAGAGCAATGCAGCTGATGTGCAAGCACCCCATTTTACAGGGTGTAGTGAGCAGGTAGAGGAAGAGTTGGTCACACAAGCTGAAATTTCAAAAGAGTGAGTAAAGGGGAAAGAAAGAGCAGACTGAAAAAAACAGAGTGGCAAGACCAGAAGAGAGAATATACAAAAAGAGAATGTGGACAACTAAATCAGCAGAACACTGTCGGCTCATTACAGTTAAAAAGAAAATAAAAAGCCATCAATCAGATGTATTAAAAAATAGCAGTGACTTCAAAACAATACCACTTGAATCAGCTCAAAAGTAATAAAACTGAATTACAATTTCTTCAGTGGGGAAACAATGCAAAGTTTTCCCACATGTAAACAAATTCACTCAGAAGAGAGAAATCAACTGTGCAGTTCTCTCAGCCCCTCCTTCAACTACGCCCCAGTCACCCTTATAAAGTATGTGCTTGTGCCACAATTGCACCAATGATAGCAAGTCAATACCACCCATCCGGCCGTTTCACAACATTATTCTGTTTTATTCTTCTTAAAACACATTTCAGAAAGTGATAAAGTGACAAACCTCTGATGCAATCCTCCTGAGTGTTTTGAAAGGCTGCTAAAGAGGAAGAAAAGGTAGGACTGTTGAGATTCAACTCCCTGTATGAGTCAGTATCCTCCCTCTACACATCAGCCCCAAAACCTCTGTCCCTTCATCATTTAAATACGCCTCTCCAAGCCGGTCATCTGGGGTGCAGAAGAAAGAGATGCACATACTCTGAAATAGCATCCCAGTGCCTCCAGAGGAAGGCCAGGAGGATCACGAGGAGCAGCGTGGAAAGCGTGCGGCTGCGTGTTTTCATCAAGGGGACGACACAGTTAGCCACCGTGGACACAAACACCAAAAGGACTGCCATAACAGCTAGCAGCACATTGATTAGTTTTCCAAGAAGAGTCCGTGCTGTGGCGTTCTCCAAACCCTCAAGCTGCACCACCTGCTGTTGCTGCTGCTGCAGCTCCATCTTGGAGATACGCGTCTGACATGCTTCCAGCGCCTCCTACGGGTCAGAGACAAAACGGTCAGTGAGATAGCTCGGATAACAAAGCAGAGACATGTTCATTTTGCTGACGCTTACCTGAATGTCCCTCGCTCTTTCATAAGACTGATAAGCAATCTTCTCCTCCATGCTGGCTAGTTCCTGTTTCAAGTTCAGAATTTCATTCTGGTGGAGTTCTGTCAAATCATTGAGCTGTTCCTCTAAACGTTCACACCTACAGAACAGTGACAACGAAAGGAACATCACAAACAGGACATAGTCTTTTTACCCACATAGACCTACTCTACTACAGTGTATAAGATATGGTACCTGTATCGTTCCTCTTGCAGGGCCTCCATGATCATCGTGTAGTCCCGCTGATAATGGGCTTTCAAATTATCGAAGGACTCCTCCAGTCGACCTTGGTTTTCCCGGAGCTCTTGGATCTCATGTAGTATAGCATCAAAGCCAGAGGCCTGGGCATGATCCAAGGTATTGCCCTTGGAGCTAGGGGGTCCTCCAGGGGCTCCAGTGGTGCTGTTTGCTCCCGCAGAGCCAGAAGTTGCGCTAGAACAGTCGTCATCACTGCCATACTTTGGGCTGGACTGCAACTGTCCCGTTCCAAGGACTCTCGTTCCCCCAGGACCCACACCTTCGTCGCCCTGGGTTTCATCCAAGGAGTCTTTCAGAGCTGCAATGTTATCGGCACTGCCAAACTTGTTGCGGATGAGGGAGGCGATTTCTCTCGGCTTAGACACGACAGCTCCGGCTGCAGAGTGAGTGGCTTGAGAGAAACTGGAGAGACCACCTGTGACCTGTAATGAGCGAGATCAGGACAATAATTAAGCTGCCTCGCTTTGCCTATTCAAGTTCAAACTGGAATGGAAACTTAACTGGATGACATCCGGTTCAACCACAGTTAACTGGTGCAACAAGCAGATGATTCAAAGTACAATGTATTCAGGGAAGAAATGTTGAGTAGGCAATGGGTGTGGCTGTTGTAATGTTCGGGTCAGTCAGTATTCAGCTGACACTATTCAGGTTTGTAAATGCTTCCCCATCGCTGACAGTCAATTGGCAAACAACTCTCTTTGCATAAATTTGCAGAACTTGTGGATAAAGCCCACACTGCACTGGCAAAATAACACAACAGCTGCCAGAAGTATACACTGCCATACCAATTAACCTACTGTGGGAGCCATTTGTTATTTATGTGTATGCTTTCTACCTTTTAGCACTAGGGTGGAGTGATTTTTTTATTTTTATTTTTTTTTAATATATAAACACACACACACACATATTCTAGTGAGTAACGCAAGCTAGTAGCCATGATAATGCTAACAAGAGTCTCCACAGTTAGCACTACAGGTAGTGAGAAATGACCCCTCTGTGTCCCAAAACATCAACTAGCAGCACAGGTTAAAAACACAGAAACTCTATTATACGAAACATCAGCATTAAATATTTAAAAAGTCAGGTTACCATGAAATTCCTGCAGTTTGACTGCTGCACAAGGGGAGCACAGTGGCCCGGTTATTATATAGACCTCAACAGTAAAGCCATTACACATGTGATGCCATGTACAGACTGCGGCAATACATTTCCCTTGAAAGGACAGTAATGAATCCATCTATTTTGAACATTAAAAGATATTAAAATCCTGTCGCTTCATCAGATTATACCAAACACTTACATGCCAGATGCATTAGTGTAAACATCAATGCAAATAATTGCAGTGTAAACAGGCAAAACCTCAATAGGATTTAATTAGTATTATTTAACATGTTGCATTTCCCATCCAAAGCCAATGTTTTAGTCAATTAAATTACATAAAGCTTTTTAAATAATGCTGACAGAGTGGTTTTTGGTAACAAACCAACACAGAAGGCACTAGGAAAGCACACACCTTGGCCCCAACATCTTTCAGCCCCTGGTGCATGTCTCGGAAAACATCTTTGGGCTGGCGAGGGATGCCGTTGTGCTCCACCTCTCGAAGCTTCCGGTGGTAGTGCTCCAGCTTCCTCTGCAGTTGCTGGATACTCTGAGCGGACTTTTGGTTCTTCTTCTCAAACACCTGTTTGATGCGTGCACTCTGCTGTTTGTCGGCATTATTAGCGAGTTTCAGGTATTCAGCCACGTTGTCGTCGCGAGCGGTTTGTTCAATTTTGATTTGTTCTGTGAGCTTGAGGATCTTCTGTTGTAGTTGGGCAATGGCCTGCTTAGTTCGCTGGGGGTCTGGGGTACTATCAACTACATCATACCCATCTGCACCGTAGGGGAGGGCATTGGGTGACACGGCAGGACCCGATCCATCATAACGTTCCAGCTGTTCAAAAAGAGCAGGGGGGAAAAAAAAGGTAGAAAATGGTGTTTATTATGTTGTCTCTTTCTATAGTGTTAAAGGTTTTGTCTAATGAGAACACTTAGAGTATCTAATGTGAACAGTTTACAAAGACAGTGTTTTGTTAGGAAAAACAACATTTGAATAACTGTGGTCATATGTCACTACTCTTTCACAACAGCAGATGGCGCCTGTAAAACAAACATCCCCTTTTGACTGTCACTTCATGGCTCCAGCTCAAGGAGTCATAGGTGGAAGATGCAGCGACTGTTGTGAGGATCAAAGGCTCAATAG